ACGTTGCGCGTCTCGCAGTGCATCACGGCAGCGCGCCACCGACGCATGCGGCAGCAGGGGCACAGGCGGGGCGCGGGCGCGCACCTCGCCTCTTGGCGTGCCAGCACTGCGGCTGCCGCAACAACGAGGAGTGGTGGACCTGGTGGTCCTCGTCCAGGCTCGTCCTCGTCCAGGCTCGTCCTACTGGTGGTGGCGGCGGCGCACACCGCGACCAGAGACACGCACCGAGCCGCGACCGTGGCGGCGGCCGCGGCTGCCCACCCTGGCGCGAGGCGACAGGCGGCGCCGCGGCCAGCGCACCCTCGGCGTCTGTGGGGCCGAGGCGCAGGCAGCCGCCGAGTGCGCTTCCCCAGCGCCCTCGCCCTCGCGCCAGCGGGCGAGGACCCAGAGGAGTCAAAGGTCGTCCAGCTGGTGGAGCTGGTCCGCCTCAGCGGCGACGGTCCAGAGGCCGCCAAGTACCAAGCGAAGCTGGACGAGGTCAGGGCTCAACGCGTGGCCAGGCCCATGTCCGTGGACGAAGCATACAAGGCCAAGGAGGCAGCGGTGGAGGCGCTCCAGGACGCCACGCTGGAGGCTGAGGAGCTGCAGCAGCAGCTGGACGAGGCCAAGGCCCGCGTGGGCGAGCGCTCCGAGGTCCTGGATCGCGCCACCCAGGCGCACACGGCTGCGGCGCATGCGTTGGCCACGTCTGTGGCGCCCCAGCCCTTGCCAGACGCCGCCGCCGCGCCGCGCCTCAGCATCTCCGCTGCCCTGGCTGGCGAGACGGCTTGGACGCTGGGCGATGAAGGCCTCTTCGGCTTGGAGGAGCTGGACGGCTTCGAGTCGATGAGAGCGACCGCCAGGAGGCTCAGAGGCGCCGACAGGAGCTGCAGGACAAGTTCGGCAGCATGGCGCGCGAGGCCGTCGGCCAGTCCAAGGCCTCCGCCCAGGAGCTCGAGGAGGCGCACCGAGCGCAGCGGGGCCGCCTCAAGACGGAGAAGCGCAGGACCGCGGAGGCCACCGAGGACCGAGGCGCCGCTGCCGAGCGGACACCTGCAGCAACGGCTGCAGCCGCCGCCGCGACGCCACAGGCGCCCGCGGCGGCGCGGGCACCCCCGCCAGCCGCCGCCTCGACGCCACAGGCGCCCGCGGCTGCGGCACAGTCGGCCCCCAGCACGGCCGCCGCGCCAACGCCTGCCCCTGACGTCATGGAGCAGGGCCGAGCTCGACTGGCAGCAGCGGGGAAGGCCGCGGGCGGGCCGCCAGGCCAGGCAGGCACCCCCGCGGCTGGGGCCAAGGGCCTCGGGCGCGGCGGCGGCGCCTCGGCCTGAGCTGCGGGCGCCGCAGGCGCGCCGCACTCGGCGAGGCCCCCGTCGTCGAGCGACGGTGCCTGCCATGCTCCTCGCGAAGCACGCGGCGGACATGATCAGGGCGACGGGTGCGGCTACAACCACATGAGCTACTACGGGCTGGGCGGCTATTCAGGGGGGCGCGAGGCCACCTGCAACGGCGACTACAACTACGGCAACACGTCGGTTTTCGGCTACTCGTAGGGAGCGCTACGACGTCGACTGGCCATCTAACACGAGGCTGCCCCCACTCGCCCCCCCTCGCCAGCAGTCAATGCGAGGGGGCAACGAAGAGGGTCAGGGCCATGTGCGAGCTCTTCTGCGTCAACGCCCCGCTCGTCGGCACCTGCTTGTGCAGACCCCTGCCCACCTTCTAATCCCCGCGGCGCGTGGCCCTCTTCGGAGGTCGAACCGCCTCGGGTTTCCCGCGGCGCGCGGCCCTCTTTGGAGGTTGAGCCGCCTCGAGAGGTCGGCCTCCCGAAAGGAGGTAATGGGCAGCGAGCGTCGGCTGCTAGGCGTTGCGCTGGGCCCTCGGCCACCCTGGGTGACGGCGAGCCCCTCCCAACGGGAGGCGTGGATCCGTCGGTCGCGGTCCCTCTACGCGAGGCGTGGACCCGACTGCCCCGGGGTGCCCAACGCTGCGGGTGACGGAGTGCCCCTGGGCAGTCGGCATCTCTGCCGCGCAGCTACAAGGGCGATGGCGACACCCTGGCCGTCATGACGGTGAATGTCACGTGTTGGGGCGCCTGCCTGGCACGGCTGGAGCAGGGCAACGACGACGACGAAGCACGGGCCATCCTCATCCAAGAGCATCGCCTGTCTGACGACCTACGGCTGGCAGCAGCCGTTCGAGCGGCCAAGCGAGCGGGATGGGTGTCCGACCTCGCCCCTGCGACTGCGACGGACAAAAGTGGAGTATCCTCAGGAGTGGGAATTTGGGTGCGCCCGTGGTTGCGCATGAAGCGCGTCGAATCCAGCGATGACCACATTTCGATTCGTTGTTCTGCCCGCTTGGGTTTTTGGATGACACCGTTGGGCTCGACTGCGGGCACCTTGCTGATCTCGCCGTATTCCCACACCAACCAGGACCTGAGCGACTTCAACCTGGACCTGCTTACCAATTCGGGCTCGGTCGTCAGGGCCACGCACCGCCCCTTGCGTCGCGGGGGCCGACTGGAAACTGCTGCCCGAGGTCGTGAACGAGGCTCACCTGCCCCCCGCGCTCGGCGCGCGCCTGGCCTTCTCGGGGAAGGCCACGTGCATCACGGCGACATATGCGAGGGAGCTGGGCAACTTCTGCGTGGACGCGGACACGCCCATCAAAGGCACCAGCCGTTGCGACCGCTTCGATGCTCGGACGCACCGTGCGGCGCTACTGCAGCTGGCCCTGCCGAAGCCAGGCGGCCTGGCGACGCGCGTGCATAAGGCCCGAGCCCCCCCAGCCCAAGCCTCGATTGGGCCTCAGCTTCCAGGCCCTGACTGGACCGACGCCCGCGGCAACCTGGCCACGGTGACCACGGCAGCAGGCTTGGAAGCAGCCTGTGGCAGGGCCCTGGACACACACGAAAAAAAGCTGCTGTGGCACTTCGACCACGAGGGCACCAGCGAGGCAAGCAGGCTCTGCGGCAGGAGCGAAGGCCTGCGCCGTGTCCAGGCCCAGCAGGACCGCCACCGCTCCAGCATCTGGCAGCCCACGGCTAAGCCAGACCCCATCGGATGCACATTGGGGCTGGCTGGGCGATCGGGCGAAGGAGGGGCGGCTGCTGCAGGCGGCGGGGCAGGCCGCCCATGGGCGGCGCCTGCCGGTGAAGCTCCTGCGCTTCAAGCCGCCCGTCCCATGGCGGCGAACCTGCGGTGTAGCGCACCTGGCGGCGGCTGGCGAGGCGTCTACACCGTCTTCCGGATGATGAATGCGGCGAGCTGCTGGCAATGCCTCGACGGCAGGCCTTGGCGGCGGCGGGGCGCGCGTCGCACAAGCGCTACAGGTCCTCGCTCGACTGAACGCGCGACGCCACTGCCGCCGAGGGCCTGCGCAGGGCCTCCCGCTGAATCCGCGAGCCCGCACCATGGGCAGCTGCCCGCCGGTTGCCTGCGGTGGGCCTGCAGACCGCGCAGGAGGCGGCCAACGCGGCCATCCGCCCATGGCACGCCCTGTGGGGCGAGGGTGCTGGGTTGGACGCTGCCAGCAGGCCAGCGGAGTCGGGCGACGGCCCTCCGCTGCCGACGCCCGACGAGCTGCGCAAGGTGAGCCTCCTTCCCGCACGTCACGGGGTTGGGAAGTTATGTGTTCCACCATCGGCACTTCACCTTCCTGTCTGACGGCGGGCTGGAGGCCTTCGCCACCGTCTGGAGGCACATGCTGACCCTCGGCCATGTCCCAAAGACGCTGGCGGTGCTGCAGATGGCGCTGATCCCAACGGCCAAGTCGGGAATCCGTACCACCGGGCTCTTCGCGGGAGCGCTGCGCCCCTTCGCACGCTGGACGCGCGGCAGTCGGCGCGCGCTGGGCCAGCGCCCACCAGCGGGACTACATCCACGGCACGTCGGGTCGCAGCTGCGAAACGTGCGCGCGGGCGCAGGCGGCCAATGCTGAGGTCGCGACTCACCGCGAGCAGGCGGCCTGCTCCGTGCTCATGGACCTCTCCAAGGCGTACGAGCACATCCCGTGGGCGCTGCTAGTCGCCCGAGCCCGTGAATTGGGCTTCGACATGATGCTGCTGCGGCTGCTCATCAGGCTCTACGCCCTGCCGAGGCTCGTCACCGTGGACGGCGCGGCGATGGGCTGGCGCGTCCCGCAGCGGGGCGCGGTGGCAGGCTGCAGCTTCGCAGACCTCTGCATGCGCATATTCCACGTGCCGCGGCTCGACGAGATAGCGGCCCTCGGCACCGTGGACCTGGGGGACACCGCGGACGACATCCAGCTCGGCAAGGTCGGGCACACCAGGATGGTGGCGGCAAAACGTCAGCTCGGCCCACAGGCGGATTCGAGGCGCCCCGACGGCGGAACGACGGCAAGTGCGCGGTGCTGGCCAACATGTCTGCCTGCGGCCGCGAGGTCATGCGGCGACGCCGCCCCCTCCGCGGCAAGTTCAGGATCTCGGCGCGCAACCCAGGCGTGGATTCCGCCCGCGAGCGCCGGGCCGGAGTGAGCACGCGGGCCAAGCGCACTGCCACCGTGCTACGCCGCGCTGCGCGCATTCGCGCGACGCGCGCTGCTCGCGGCAAGACGCGCCAGCTAGTCGGCCTCAGACTGACCCCAGCGGCCACCTGGGGAGCGGGGGTGACCGGGAGGGCTTGGAGCGGGATCGAACCGATGAGACATGCAGCGCACTCCGCCGTGCACGTGCACACAGCCCGTCGCCCCCTCGATGTCGACCTCCACCTCCCCCCCGCCTTTCCGTGGACCGTGGGCCCCGCCTACGCTTGCACTGCGGGGCCCATCCACATGCTTGCCCAGGCGATTTGGTCATCGTGGACCCCTCGGGAATCGATTGTTCGGTTGATGTTTGCTTCTGAGGCCGCTTTCATGGCCGACCCTTTCAAAAGCGAATGGCCCCTGGTCAAAGGTCCGATATCGGCTGCCGTCGCCAGCTGCCGTCGCATAGGTCGGAGGCTCGGACCTGGAGCGTGCGTGCTTGTAACTCAGGACGGTTATAAACTTGAGATCACTTGCATGTGCCCTCGCTCTGCGCTGCACGTTGCTCGCCTCGCGATCGAGGATTGGCAGATGGATCGTTTTCACCAGAGCTGCGACTACATGTCGAGCCTCTCACACAGGCCGCACTCGCCACCCATCCGCAAGCTGCGCAATGGAGCGCGCGAGCCTGACTGGAACATCCAGCACCAGGCCGGCCTCCGAGCGATTGCAGCGAATGGGATCTGGGGTCAGGCTCACAAGTACAGGGACTGTTTGACGACCGATCCGTCGCGCCCCCTGCACCGCTGTTGTCCCGGCACCCTCGCCGCCTGGATTGCGGGCGGGTGCTCAGCCACCTGGCAGCACGTGCGGGACTATGACCTACCCTCCTCTGTCCGTGAGGGCCTCCGTGAGCACCCCGACAGGGCCCTTTGGAGATGCGGCCTTGTCCCCGCCCCTCGGCCCTGGGTGATCGCCCCCCCCCCCCTACTCGTCCGCTGGCTCATGCGTCCGCTGGGCGGCCATTTCGAAGGCGAGGCCTTCGGCGACGGCTCGTGCGCGTCGCTTGTACAGGGCGACATGCGTCTCCTACGCGCGGGCCGGTGCGTCGTGCAGGTCGACAACAGTGGGGGCCTCGCGGCGCCCCTGTGCGGCCCGCTGCCTGGACCGCACCAAGCGTCGGACCTGGCCGAGGCCCACGGCCTGCTCATGTATCTCACGCACGTTGGGCTGGGCCCCTTTCGCGACCATTCGAACTGCGATTGGGTGGTCTCGAGCTTCCAGCGTGGCCGTTTCGAGGCCACGGGCGCCATGCGCGAGGGCACTGACGCGCGGCCCAAGATATGGGATCGGGTGGACGACCTTCGGGGGGGAAGTGCGGAAGGTGAAAGGCCATGCCCGCCGCCGTCACGATGACGAGCAGGAGCTGGGTGCTGCCGCGAGGTGGGGGAACCGCCACGCTGATGCAGGCGCCCGCGTGGGCGCCCCCCTCCGTCTCACGGATGCCGAGGCCAGCCAGCGCGCGCAGCGCTCCTGAATGCTGGTCACCTTCGTAACCAAGTTCCTAGCCAAGACGATGCAGGCTGTCGGCCCCAAGTCGCAGCAGGCGCCGCGCCACGGACAGCTGCGGCGGGCCAAGCGACGCGGGCCGGCGCCAGCCCTCCCGGCGGACACGGAGCCGCCCCCTGATGCCCACTTGCCCGCGCCGTCTCCCACGGGCTTCAGGTGCGCCAGATGCTTCCGCGTCGCTCGGCAACGGGACGCCTTCATCCCAGCCGTGTGCGCCCTGGAGAGGGCCACCGTGTCTGGCACGTTGGCCATTTCGTCTTCTGCGCCCGCTGCGGTGCGCACTCCAGCGAGAATGCGCAGCTCACTGCGCAGCCCATGGCGCTCCCGTGCCACGATGGAGTGCCCCCCAAGACGCGCACTCGTTCAGACCGTCTCTGGGAGGGCCTGCACCCTCGCACTGGGCTGCCGCTGCTGTCGCCTGTGCACGGACAGCTGAGGCATCGCCCTTTTGGCCAATGTGTCCTCGACGCCACCTACGGGGGCCTGGTCGCGGTCGAGGACGATTGCGCCGTGTTGGGCTAGCCTCCGGCCCCCTCCTCGTGCGACACTCCGGTTGGGATGCGCCCGAGGTTTTGCATGTCCGACTCCCGCCTGAGTCTGTCAGCGTAGCCAGCCCCTCTTGCACGCTATCAGCCGCGCCTGGACAAACACCTCCTCCTCCTGCTCCTACTCCTCCTCATCCTCCTCCTCCTCCTCCTCCTCCTCCTCCTCCACCACCATCTCCACATCCTCCTCCTCCTCCTCCCCTCCTCCTCCTCCTCATCCTCCTCCTCCTCCTCCTCCTCCTCCTCCTCCCCCTCTCCCCCCTCCCCCTCCTCCCCTCCCCCTCCCCCTCCCCCTCCCCCTCCCCTCCCCCTCCCCCTCCCCCCTCCCCCTCCCTCCTCCTCCCCTCCTCCTCCTCCTCCTCCTCCTCCTCCTCCTCCTCCTCCCCTCCTCCTCCTCCTCCTCCTCCTCCTCCTCCTCCCCCTCCCCCTCTCCTCCTCCTCCTCCTCCTCCTCCTCCTCCTCCTCCTCCTCCGCCCCCTCCTCGCCCTCTTTCTTTCGCCACTGCAGCGGTTGGTCCCATAAGCGGGGCCGCCGAAACCGGCGCCGCGCCGCCGCCGGGCCGGGCCGCGGGGCGCTCACGGCGCGGGCGGGCCCCCCGCAAGCGGGCAGCAGGGAATGGTTAGCCAGCTCCCCCCCCCGTTTTGCTGGCCGGAAACACCCGACCACCGACAGAACGGGCAGGGGCCAGGCACCCCCAGACCCCACCGCCCACCCCAGGGGCCCGCCACGACACGACACGACGCGACACGACGGGGGGACGAAACGAACGACGCGACACGAACGACACGACACAGACGAACGACACGACAGAGACGAGCCGCCGGTCCCGCCCCAGGGCGGCGAGCGCTGGGGGAAACCAGCACCGTCCTGGGGGAGGCCACGGGACCTGGCGACCCCCCCGGGGGAACGAAACCGCACTTTGGCGGCGTCCCCCGGGGTGCGGGGGCTTTTCGCCCCTCGGGCCCGGCGCCCCCCTCCTGCGCCAAGAGGACCCTAGGGTCCCGACCCCTCCCCTACGGGAGGGGCCCCCTCGGGGCTCCTCCTCCTCCTCCCTCCTCCTCCTCCTCCTCCTCCTCCTCCTCCTCCTCCTCCTCCTCCCCCTCCTCCCCCTCCCCTCCTCCTCCTCCTCCTCCTCCTCCTCCTCCTCCTCCTCCTCCTCCTCCTCCTCCTCCTCCTCCCTCCTCCCTCCTCCTCCTCCTCCTCCTCCTCCTCCTCCTCCTCCTCCCTCCCTCCTCTCCTCCTCCTCCTCCTCCTCCTCCTCCCTCCTCCTCCTCCTCTCTCCTCCTCCTCCCTCCTCCTCCCTCCCTCCCTCCCTCCCTCCCTCCTCCCTCCCTCCCTCCCTCCCTCCATCCATCCATCATCCATCCATCCATCCATCCATCCATCCATCCATCCATCCATCCATCCCCCCTCCCTCTCCACGCCTTCCTCCTCCCTCCTTCCACGCCCCTCTTCGCTCAACTGGCCTCGAGCGGGGCACCAGCGTGCTTCATCTCCAGACTGTCCGGGGTGCCGACCCCGTGCACCATGGCGACGCCTGGGCAGATCATCGCCTCATAGAATTGCACCTGCGCGACGGGGAGGTCGAAGGGTGTGAGGGCGAGAGCATTCACAATCCTCCTCATCATCATGCGTCCTCTTCTCCCGCCTCCATCCCTGCTCCTTTCATCCCGGCCAAATCCTTTACCCTCCACCGATCCTCCCTCATTCCCCTCCTCCTCCTCCTCCTCATTCTCCTCCTCCTCCTCCTCCTCCTCCTCCTCCTCCTCCTCCTCCTCCTCCTCTCCTCCTCCTCCTCCCTCCTCCATCCCTCCCTCCTCCCTCCCTCCCTCCCTCCCTCCCTCCTCCCCCCCCCCTCCCTCCTCTCCACACCTTCCTCCTCCCTCCTCCATCCGCCCTCCTCCATCCGCCCTCCTCCTCCCTCCCGCCTCCCTCTTCCTCCTTCATCCCTCCATTCTCCCATCTCCATCTGCCCAACCTCCCTCCTTCCTCCTCAGTCGCCCCTTCTACTGTCTCGCACTCCCCTTGCCCCTGCTCATTCCTCGCCTCTCCCTTCTCCATTGATCCCGCTCTGGCCAAGAAGATCGTGCTGCGTAAGTGCATCCCCCTCCTGAAACAACGTGCGCACATACCAAGCACACGCAGCATTGAGCAACGGCCACACAGGCGCAATGGTGTGGCATATGGCACGGTGGAGTCATACCCGACAGACTTCGAGACCGATCCCGAAGCAGCACAATGTCGAAAGGTGGTGGAACCACGAGACAGCCCACTGAACATTGGCTGTAAGCACCACCTCCTGCGCAACTGGCTCGAGGCGTCGGAGGTCCGGGCTGCCCCCTCGACGATCAGTCCTCGGACCACCCCCGAGGGTGCGCTCCAGCCAGAGTTTCGAGGACGGACCCCGCAGGGGCGACGAGGGCGCCCAGGGAGACTCACAAAGACTGGAGGCCTGGAGCTGGGCACCAACACCAACACAGGGGGGTGCCTCCACAGGGGGGAGATGATCCTAGATTTCGGTGTTGTTGGTAATATTTCGGCCACCTTGGAAGCCAGAATATTGCCTACCATCACCGAGATCGGAACATTCTTCCCTCGGTGGAGGCACACCGCCGATATTGGTGTTGGTGTCAACCTCCAGGCCTGCGAAAAGAGGCCAGAAACGAACACAACCCCCAGACATCGATCCGTCGCCTCGAAGTCGCCCCCCCCCCACCCGCCGCCCTCCAGCGAGGGGAAACCCCGGGGGGACTGGCTCAGGGGGGGAAGCATGGAGATGGAATCGGCGATGCATTGCCAATGGATCGGCGACAGCACCCCGATAGCGAATCCATACGTTCCTGGGCGGGGCGAGCACTCGGGCCCCTATCGGCGATCAGTGGGCGATTGGGGGTCGATGCATCACGCCCTGAGCCTACATCCCCCTTGACGTTGCCCTTGGTCACGGGTCAAACATTCGTCCCTGGACCTCTCTTGGGGTGCGTTCTGACCAGAATTTCGAGGCGGTTCCAGAGGTGGCCACGAGAGCTCCCCAGGACGATCTGAAACCTTCAGAACGCGAGCCAACATCCCCCCCCCGGAACTAGAGGACTCCCAAATGGGGTTCGAGCAGATGGGGTCGGAGGATCGCGCCGCATCGCCGATGCATCGACGCCGTCGGCGTGGAGAAAATCGGGTAGCACATCGAGCCGCATCGCCGATGCATCGGCGATGCGTCGCGATCCTCCGACCCCATCTACTTCGACCCCATCTGGGAGGCCGACCGTCTCCGTGCGACCCTACGGAACATTAAAGAATGAAAGGAGAGTTCCGGGCCACGGCGAGACTCGGCCACGAATCGATTCCCCGACCTAGACCACAGGAACGGCCAGAACACCAGAGCCCCTCCCGAGCCCGAGGTGGTCCCTGCTTCGGCGCCTCGACTGTCGACCAAACGCTGCCCCTGACCCCCCCCCAGCCTGCGCGTCCAGGTCCGACTCCAGGTGCCTGGCGTCGAAGGCGGGGATCTCGACGCCGCTGTACCAGGGGGTCCGCCCGCCGAGCAGGCGGTCCATCAGACTGCCAGTGCCCTGACCAGGACCCAACGGCTGCACAGGCACCGCGTCGGAGGCCCCCACCCCCACTGGTGCGGAGCAAAACCAAAATATAGATAATCATTTGCCCATTTTCCGCCTCCGAAAGCCCTCGCCGGGCCCCGGGACCGTCAAAAAACAACCCTTGATGAGAAACTGGACACGGGGAAGGGGTGAAGGCTTCTGGGGGTCGACCCAGACTGCCAGTGCCCTGGCCAGGACCCGACGGCTGCACAGACACCGCGTCGGAGGCCCACCCCCGCTGGTGTGGAGCAAAACGTAAATATCAAGGTTTGCTAATGCTCCGCCTCCGAAGGTCCTCGCCGGGCCCCGAGACCGTAAAAAACGACCCTGGGTTCATGGGCCTGTTTTCCATCACCACCACAGGTGGAGGAGGAGGAGGAGGAGGAGGAGGAGGAGGAGGAGGAGTAGGAGGAGGACCCCCTCCCCCTCCAACTTATGGTGGTGGTGGTGGAAAAGAAGCCCACCATGGGTGAGGAACTGGACACGGCGAAGGGGTGTAGGCCTCTGGGGGTCGACCCAGTCTTCCAGTGTCTGGAACAAGATCGCCATACCACGAACGCATTGGGAAGAACAAAACGACTTCTGATCCACATTCTTCGGCCTCTGGTGCTCCTCCGACCGTTAAAAAAACTGGCTCGAGGTAAAAAGCCGAACCCAGGGACAGGGCCGGGACTCCCGGGAACCGCGCATTGAAAAAATCAAGACATCGAACAACTGGGGCCCGGTTCGCGAACGTTATTCGTCCTGCTTGAGTTTCCAAGAGGCTTCTCGAAATTCTAGCCCGCACGCACCCCAGGACACGTCTGGGGGACAAACTGTGGCCGCCAATCCCATACCTCCAACGTCTGGGAAAGAATACCGCATCAAAGCCGTTCGTAATTTTCGCTGGTTGGAGGCCGCTTCTGGCACCCGGGCCCGTCAAGAAACGACACAGGATGAAAGACTGGTCGCAGGGAAGAGGTCATGAGACCGGAGGAGGGCCAGCGACTCGAAAAACCCGTCGTTTGAAGTCTGGGGACGAAGAGGAAGGCATCAGTCCAAAATCTTAAGAGATCCGCCGCTGGGACCTGGGTCGCCCTCGCTCTGCCAAGAGGAGGAGGGCCAAAAGATCGACAGGGAGCCGAAACGACCAGTGCCTCCTCTTCAGCGCCGAGGGCGCATCAAGTTGGAGGCGGCCAGGGGGTCTGACCTGCTTGGGACCCCGGAAAATCTGTCGGGGGGGGGTGGAGCCAAATCCGCTCAAGATCGGCCTCTCCGGACCCCTCCCGGGGTCCATCTGGTGCAGTTTCTCACCCTGGGTCCGTGCGTGACGGCCCCTGGGCCCGAAAATGGCTCCCCGAGGCCGAAAAGAACAAACAACCTTCCCGATCACAGAATCTCAACCGTGCCCCCCCCCCTTCCTGCCGGCTGGAACCAGGTGCTGGGCCACCTCAGACCCCCAGCCGGCCCCAAGCATCCACCACCACCGAAAACCCAGGCTGAAGCTGCACCCGCGGAGGCGCCACGGAGCCAGGGTGCGTTGGCCCCTCCCTGCCTGGATGAACCGCTCGCCGCCCGCCCCGTCGTGCATGGCCTGGGGAGGCATTCGCTGCGACCGCCAGTCCAATCCACACGCACACACACACACACACACACACACATACACACACTACTATAAGATGTTTCGGTGCGCGCGTCGCCCCTGGGAGGGGCGACGCACATGTAGTACATGTCGGGGTGACACCGATCTCGCGCCGCCCCCCTCTTGGGGGCGTCCACGAGGGGAGTCCCCAAATCATGGCCCGAGTCACATGCGCAGCCCAAGTGGGGACCCTGGGACGCGTTGGCATAGGAAGACGGGGCCAAGAAATCCCGGGGGGTCTCATGGCCAGGCCATGACATCCACGCACACACACACACACACACACAAACACACGCACACACTTGTTGCAGTCGGCGTCGCAGAGGATCCTCAGGCGCGAGCAGCAGATGGAAATGCGAAATGCGATCGAATATTGTCGAAGGCATCATGTACAAACCGTGCATAATGTCAATGCAGCAAGGGACACACACACACACACACAGCCCTGGTCCTACCTACCCCCCCCCCTGGACGCCCCCGACTGGAGAAGCGCAGCTCCTCGGCCCCCCAGGGCGCGAGGCAGGAGGCGCGGCCGTCTGAGGCGCCCGAGGGGAATGACCCATGCGACTCGGAACTCGGAGGTGGGCCTCCGTGGCAGGATCGCGTCGCGAGGGGGTGCGGGCATTGGTTCCTGGCTTCGAGAGGAACGTTCAGTCTTGAACGGCCGCCGCGCTCCGACATCGGCGATCGCCCATGGCTGGCCCAGTCCGGGCAGCTGGTGAAGCTCGACCTTGAACGCCCGCGCTGGCGTCGCCGCCGCGTCAGCGCGGTGTGAGCCTACCGCACGAGGGGAGGAGAGGGAAGAGGGAGGGGAGAGGGTGGTTGATCTGGCGGGCCCCGACGTCAACCTCTGCTCGCAGCGTGGGCCCCTTCTTCGTGGCCAGCCTTTTGTCCCAAATCGTTGTGCGACGGTCCGCTGGGCCACGAAACGGGATCCAGAAGCCGCAGAAAAGGTCGTCTGCATGCTTAGTCCGTGATGCGGCCAGCATCCCTCGGAGCGGCCTTCCCCACGAAGGGCGCCAGCGAGTGGAGCCACTTCGCCTCGAAGACCTCGGGCCCAGCGGGGCCCACCTCCACGCCCTCGTACTCGACTGACAGACGCTCGCCTCGCAGGCTGCTAGAAGAAGGCGTCGTCGTCGTGTCTTCGTCGTCGTGGGCGCTGAGAAAATCGCCGCCGTCGTAGTCGCCGTCGAAGTCGCCACCGCCGTCGAAGTCGCCGTCGAAGTCGCCACCGCCGCCGCCGTCGTCGCCTGGGGGGTGCTCGAGCGTCTCTCTGGAGGTGTTCGTCTCCACGGCCAAACACGGCTCGCGAGACTGGCCGGGACGGACCCCGAGAGGAGTTCGGAGGTAGAGCTTGAGCGGGCCCCGGAGAATCGCCACGGAGAGAAGGCGGCATGGCCCCACGGTGCACTCAGCGTTTTTGAGTATCGTTTAACCGATCTCCATCCCCAGCGGCGTGGCCTAGGCCCCACTTGTCGATTTAACCCCCCTAGATGGGGATATAGGTCGTTCCCTTCGGGTTTCAAGGGGTGTATCCCCAACGGGGGTGGTAATTTGGTGGGGGTCTCGAAGGCGATGGGGATGGGGATGGGGATCGGATAAACGATACCGAGCTTTGCGCCGTGCTGGAACTCCTGGGGCCGGCGGAGCGTACAAAACGGGACGGCCAGCCTCTCCAAGATGTTGCCCTCCTGGGGCACATGCAGGGCCCCAGGCCGTCAAAGAGCGGCCAGGGATGACATGCGGGCAAGATTGGCACCCGCATCCGCTGCTTTCTTGGAGTTTCGGGCTCCCTTCTACGGCGCAGTGGGTATGAATAAAACCCTGGCCCCTGGAAGCTAGTTGTCCATCTCCACTGCGCCTCGGCCCTTTGGCGTCCCTTCCTGGAAAGCCCCAAAGCGCAGAGAATAAGGACGCAGATCTTGCCCGCAGGAGAAGACGGCCCCGAGGAAGCGGTCGAATCCCCAGGGGCCCAGATCAAAGGCAAAAAGAAGCGCAGCGTCCGAGGGGAGGGGTCTGGGCGGTCTGGGCCTCCCTGGGAGAGGCTGGGGCCGCCTCGGGCCAGGGTCCCTTCTGGCAACACCCGATCGCCGCCGCTGTGCGACTCCGCGCAGGAGATCCTGAGCCCGCCCATGCCCCACACGTCCTCGGGGGCGGGAGACATATATCCGTGTTCACGGGCTCGCGGTCCAGACTCCTCCTCCTCCTCCTCCTCCTCCGGTCGGCCTTGCGTGGATGCCCCACGCAGAACGTGCCCATGGGATCGCATATTCGTGGGATCGCGCCTCGGAATCCAGACCGGGAGGACATGAATGTATGGACATGTTGGTTGCTCGCGACGTCCGTCGCAGACTTGCGGTAGTAGTCGGCCCCCGCGCGGGTCGGGGCGGAGTCCCTCAGCCACGAGGCGTGCACCTCGTAGCGCGTGCCGTCGGCAAACTCCACAGACAACTGCCTCCCGCCGTTGACCGACTTGCAATCCACGACTGCGTGGGGCTTCGTGTTGGGAAAGCTCGCGATGACCTTCGGCGTGTCGCTCGGGGTCGCCCGCACCGCGCTTGTTGCCGAAAAGCGGGCGGCGGCTCCACTGAACAGTCCACGGCCACGGCACAGAAGGGCGGCCATTACAGATTCGCGCGCGAAGATGTGGTGATAAGGAGGGGGCCAAAAACGCAAACGAGCCAAAGCAGCTGCGAGCGGAGGCGGAGGGGGAATGCTTCAGGCAGGT